GTGCATCCATGTCGAACACTGTTGGCTGGCGGCAACGGAGTAGGGCACATCACAACTGAAAAACGTAAAATTAATCTTCATCCTGTTCTAGAAGAAATACTTTACTGCTGTTTAATTAGCTTTTCTTTTGAGAATTATGGGCGAACAGCGTAAGGAGTGCCCTTTTACCTATGGAAATATCATACTTTTTCAATAAGAATACCAACAGCACAAGAATATCTTCAGTATCCTACATCATTTCCAAACCTGGTGATTATTATCTCCTCTTTCGTGTCTGTTCTAAAGAAAAACTGTACTACTACATTTCAAGCACCACTAAGATATGGGACGTACTTTGACAGACAAACTCTTCACCACTCCAAGTTTTATTCTCTTGACATCTTCTTATTTGAGAACCAGATCCTACATAGCCATTATTGCACTCAAACTGACAGACTGTATCATAAAACTCAGTTGCATTCCCTGAACATTCAAGTCTTGTTCCGTTTGTTGGTGAAGGCAATCCCGGGCACGTGATTCCTGCAATAAACATAAAAAAATGAGTAAGTTGCCAAAGTATTTTAATTGTGAACGTTTCGACGTAATTTCCACTTTCAAATGTCGGTAAAAAATTGTTTTTTCCTGTAATACTAAAACATTATTACTGCTTCAACAGACTCGAAGGAAACCTCTTAAAATGCGCCTGTATAATAAAAAACTGTGTCTAAAAGGTCGCTTAAGGTCCATTATCTACTATTTTGCGCCTGTTCTAAAGAAAAAATGTAAAGTGTTACATTCCAAGCGCCTTTAACATATGGGACGTACTTTGACAGACAAACTCTTCACCACTCCAAGTTTTATTCTCTTGACATCTTCTTATTTGAGAACCAGATCCTATATAGCCATTATTGCACTCAAACTGACAGACTATATCATAAAACTCAGTTGCATTCCCTGAACATCCAAGTTTTGTTCCGTTTGTTGGTGAAGGCAATCCTGGGCACGTGATTCCTGCAATAAATACCAACAACTGAATTAGTTACCGAAGTATTTGAATTGTGAACCTTTCGACATAATTTTCACTTTCAAATGTCGGTAAAAAATTGTTCATTCCTGTAATACTGACTTAAACATTATTACTGCTTCAACAGACTCGAAGGAAACCTTTTAAAATGCGCCTGTATGGTAAAAAAACTGTGTCTAAAAGGTCGCTTAAGGTCCATAATCTCCTATTTCGCGCCTGTTCTAAAGAAAACATATAAAGTGTTACATTCCAAGCGCCTCTAACATATGGGACGTACTTTGACAGACAAACTCATCACCACTCCAAGTTTTATTCTCTTGACATCTTCTTATTTGAGAACCAGATCCTATATAGCCATTATTGCACTTAAACTGACAGACTGTATCATAAAACTCAGTCGCATTCCCTGAACATCCAAGTCTTGTTCCGTTTGTTGGTGAAGGCAATCCTGGGCACGTGATTCCTGCAATGAACACAAACAACCGAGTTAGTTGCCAAAGAATTTTAATTGTAAATGTTTCGACGTAATTTTTACTTTCAAATATCGGTAAAGAGTAGTTAATTCCTGTAATACTAAAACATTTTTAGTGCTTCAACAGACTCGAAACAAACCTCGAAAAATGCGCCTGCATAGTAAAAACTGTATCTAAAAGATCGCTCAAGTGCAGAAAAGCCAGTTTAGGTATTACTCAGCCATAAGTTCCGTTGCCATCCCATCCCTCGACGCCATTGGATCTAAACACAAAATAGTTTCAATTAATTTTTCAAACTTACTCTCGCAATAAAATTCCCCTCCTCCGCTCCAGAGCCCGTTGTCT